TCAAGCCTTTAAGACCCCAGATGCTATATCTTTTGATAGCCGGGCACCATCAGCTTTCTTCACCACATTTGCTTATGCACCCATTTGTCTTCAGCGTTCATATTGGGGAGGTGAGCACACAATGATATGATTTTTTGTTCTTTGATGCCTGATAACTGATTCTGCTCCTTTTCTTCGTCAGGATAGCTTGTGTTTTCACCTAAGTCACTCAACTTTTCTGCTCCCCAGTTTTCTCACAGATAAAACGAAGAGCTGTTGTGTTCCATCTCTAAGAACCACCCTAGTTCTATACTCCAGAGGTCTCCATGGACTCAGTCATTTCCCAGCAGTTCGATGAAAAGCAGGCAGGTTAACCACTGGATTGCTAACCCCTAGTCAGTCGGGCAATCCCACCAGCTGCTCCTTGGGAGAAAGATGAGGCTGTCTGCCCCTGTAGAGACTGACACTATGGGAACCACTAAGAAGCCGCCCTACTCTATCCTAGAGGGTTGCTCTGGGGTCCACCGTGAATGGACAGCAGTGGCTTGGCTTTGTTTTTCTGCTCAACTAAACATACCAAAGTTTGGTGGCCTGCTCTGGGACCCAGACACCATTATTTCCATTTAAGATTATAATAATTTTCTGACACCCCTAGCTACTCACACAAAGAAAAGAGCTTCTATGGAGAGGATGAGCTGCAGGGTCCGGCAGGGACCCAGTTTGCTGCTTACTCTGTTGGAGATGCTGTAGGTAGAGCATCGATCGGTCTGTGCGCAGAGCTGCCCTAACCTCTCCCACCTCTGGAGAAAAGGAGCCAGTCATTCCAAACCACTCAGGTCACACAGCATGCAGCAGAATGGAAGGAGTTAAGTGAACCCTACCTCCACCAATAGATCTATTCGAGTAGGAATAGAAGCTGCGATCTAAACTCTGTCCAAACTACAACCTCACTTTTCTTGGCAGTGGGAATCTCTCTCTTACCCACAGCTGAGGACACACAGCTGTGGTTGTTTGGGGATGTTGGAGACGGACCCTGCCCAGCAGTAGCACACCCCAGATCAGCACCGTGCCCTCCAGCCCTAGAAAGGAGCAGGGTCCCATCAGCAGGACTCTTTCTGACTCTAGCACTTCCCCCAAAGGCAAGCACATGAGAAGGAAGGGTAAGGTTACCTGGGCCTTATCCAGGAGAGGCTTCAGACGCTCCAGTACTGCTTGCTCTACCTGGTCTGCTAGCTCAGTGGCAGAAACACTATTTGGAAACAGAGTGGAAAATCAAAACCAGGCTCGAAAACATTTCCTAGTGGTACATATTTATTTACTGGTCTAGGTGAGGGAAAAAGCACATGAGTCTAAAAACCTGTGTTTTTCTTCCAGCTTTAAGGATGACAGAGATCATCTGGGAGCTCCGCTAAAGGGCAGATCTGGCTGGACTGGCCGAGGTCTGAGCCTCTGCACTTCCAACACGCTCCCTGCCAGCAAGCACAAGCGTTCAGGCCGCATCTCAAGAAGGATGCTGGGTTCTGAGTGCACTCTAAAAGAACCATGGCTGCCTTTAAATAGCTAACGAGGGGACCCCTCTGGCTGGGTTAGAGAGGAAGGATACGAAATAAAGGAAATGAATTCTGCTCGCCCCAGGACTCCACTAAAATATGTCTAGAGACTGGGAGAGATGGAGAGACAAAAAAACTGATGCTGGAAAACAGATGGATACCATGATAACTAGTTTAGCTGATTGCTGTTAGGTTAGAATTAACTTCACGGCACACAACAACAATAAAGAAGGAAAAAACTAAGAACCAACACAATGTGTACTGCTGACCTCAGTAGGCCCAGGACCGGCATCAAGTACCAGGTATTTCTAGACTTGAGTGTAACCTGGGAAGGAAGAGGCTTAAATACAGACCCTCATACCTCACTGCCATCGAGTCAATTCCCACTCAACAATCTGCCCTGCCCTTGTGGGCTTCTGAGACTCAACTCTTTACAGTAGAAAGCCCGTCTTTCTCCCTTGGACTTTGCTGGTGGTCCCTAAATCCCTTTTCCCAGTCCACACAATTAGGCAATCACCTCCCTTTGGCTCCCAGAGATTAAGTTTGCTTGTTTATTCTTTGGACAGGGCAAAACACCAATCACAGCGGAGGCAGTGGGTAGACAGTAAGGAGGAGTCACATATGCATCTTGAATGTTGAACGGTAAGCCTCACAGTTCTCCTCCCAACTCAGTACCCAGAGCACTGGCATCCAAGCCCTTCCTTCCCATTCCAGGAAGGAGATAAAGACTCTTCTCTGGGCAACCTGACCAGCCCCAAAGGGAAGCCCTGAGGCCCAGCATGGAGGTCCTCAATAAACAGCCCACCCAGATCACCCCCGAGTCAATGGAGCTCCATTTCAAGGGTCCTTTCACAGACAGTGCTGAAATTACCAGTGAGTCTCAAGAAACAGTCTAGCTCATTGCACACAGAAACATAATTCCAAGTGGGCCGTAGACCTGAAAGTAAAAGCTAGAACTATCCGGCATTTGCAAGGAAACAACGGAGACTACTGCTGGGGCCTTGGCATAGGCATGGATTTCTGAGTTCTCTCGTGCATAAAAACCTATCCATCAAAGAAAAAGATTGATAAATTAGTCATAATCAAAACTGCTAGCCATGAAAAGACTCATGAAAAAGAAGGTATATTATAGGCAAACCATAGACCTGGGGGAAAATATTTGTTGTATCTGTACCTGACAAGGGACTCATATTTGGAAAATAGAGAACTCTTACAAGACAAAACAAAAAAACAAAATAGCCCAATTAAAAAGGATGAAAAAACACTTCACCAGACATTTCATTCAGAATAAGCACTAATGAAGGTGTTCACTTCATTAGTCTGCAAGGAAATACAAACTAGACCACAATGTCATCTGAGGACACTGTCACAAGAAATGTCTATAATTAACAAGAGTGACAAGAACAGATTTATAGCGAGGCTATGAAACGAGAGAGGAATTCCCTTGCATAGCTGGTAGGCCTATTAAATGGCCCAACCACTTTGAGAAACTTGTAGGGCAGGTTTGAGCAAGTTAAACATTTACTGATGCGATACCCCTGTAAATCCCCCACCTAGCTGTTTGCCCAGGAGAAACGAAGGCACAGGTTCCCCAAAGCCTTTTGCGGGAATGTTCACAGCAGCTTTATTCGAACTAACCACAAACCGGAATCCACTCAGAGGTCACCTACAGAGGAACGGACAAACAGTGCGGGCTTCCACATGAGGCAACACTACTCGGCAAGAAAATGCAGCAAACTCTTCTGGTAAGTGCACAGCAAGGGTGAATCTCACAACAATTTTATTTTTAAAGATCATTTTATTTGGGGGCATACAACAACTTTTAAGCAAAACAACAACAAAAAAATCCCTCTAAAAACAAACCACACACACACAGAAATAGATATGGATGTTTCGTCATCATCAGATTAAAGAACAGGTGAAACTACAATCAGAGAAGTGCTGCTCCCCGTTCCTCGCAGAGGCCCAGTGAACCTGGGAGGCCCAGCCTGTCGTTGCTGTGCGCCCTCACAGACCCCGCCCGACGGCAAAGAGCGCCCCACGGGCTTCCTACCCTATAATCGCTGCAAAAGCAGATGGCAAGGTCTTTGAGCCCAAGGAGCCACCGCCTGGGTTGGTCTGAACTGCCAAACGCTCAGCAGCTGAGTGCTTAACCCATGTGCCATCAGAGTCCTAACAGCCCCTGCAGACACCTCGTCCATAGGAAACCCCGCAGCGTTTCTATGGATTCCCTATGGCCTTGCCTATGGACTTTGTGGGCAGGGGCTCTCAGGGGCACTTAGGTGAGATTCTGATACAGACAGTTCAATATTTCCCCCAGAAGTCTCCATAGAATCCCGGCAACATCGCCCTCTCTTGGTGCAGCAAGGTAATACATACATAAGTGACAGCTGGGTAAGGAAGGGTGATGAAAAGATGAAGCGTGTGGGACCTACATGGGAAACAAGCCTCCGGAGAGCTCCCTCGACCCACAATTCAGGGACGGGAGGAAAGGGTTACTAAACAGAGAGCATGGGCGAGATGAGTACAGAGGATCTAAGGCATGAATCTGACTTGAACAGTGAACACTTGGCCAGTGGATCCCCTCTCTGATGCGTGCTGGACCTGGTCCGGTTGTCCACATTTTCTGTATTTGTGTTTTGTTCGTTCAGACTAGGGTGTCTCTCAGAGGTGGTATGTCATCGGAGGTCACCCTCTGGAAGTTGTATTATGTTTTTCTGTTTTTTGCGGTATGTGAAACTCGGGACTGATGAACCCATAAGGACAGCAAGCAGAATAAGGGTTCCAGGGTCAAGGGGTAAAGTGGTGGTGGGAGCTGGGGAGGGGGATAAAAGGGAGGCGATGTCAAGGAGCTCAGGAAGAAAAAGAATGTTCGGAAACTGACTGTGGTAGCAATGGTACAATTCTGCTGGACATGACTGAACTATGGATGATATATGTATTAACTCCCAATTAATATAAATAAATAAATAAATAAGACAAAGAGTAAAAAATAAAAGATTAACACAAAACCCAGGGCAGTGGCGGCCTCTGGGGGGCAAAGGGTGGGGTGGTAACTGGGGAGGCGCTCACATCCGCCTGGCTTGGTGTGGTGGTGCAGGGGGCTCATGTTATATCTGCGCAGCAAGCAGGGGACCTTTTCTTTAACGAGTAAGGAGACAAATGGAAGCCCCGAGGACCAGTGGCTAAACTTTCAGCACACCTGAAGAACACTGATGTGCTGCTATCCCAGGGGTGTGCGGGAACAGGACGCAGGGACACTTGTGGAGACACTACAGAGAGGATGGGAGGTTCCTGTGTGGGCAAAGATCCTTCCAGTGCTGAATTCCTGGAATTGTAGAACTCAAAATCTCAACTACTGGCCAAACACAACCGATGACAGAGCCCCAGCCCCTTTAACCAGGTCAGGAGATAGCCACACACCTGTTTCAGGGCGTGCTCTGTGGGTCTGACTTCAGGGTGACTATCAGAGCTGAAAAAACTGACCCTGGGGCAGCAGCAGACCATCTGACGTCTGTCAACAAGTTCCTTGTGCATCCGATTGGGTCAGGGAGCGCATATGGAAAAAGGCAACTTCGCTGGAAAACCTTTGGTTGCCTTCAAGTCATGTGAAGCACCAGCTCCATAAACAAACACGGCCCGCCCCCCACCCTTCTCCCCTTAAGGGCGGGCAGCACACAGACAAGCCGGGACTCCCCCGAACCGCAGCTCGCCTTCCAACCTCGACACAATGGAACACCTCCCAGCCCAGGCACCACATACAGGACACGCGGGTATCCACTCATTCACTCGCCCACGCGCTCTTGCAGGTGGCATGCAGACTGACTGGCTGCTAAGTAAGGTGACCAGATTTTAACATTGGTAAAGCGGGGCACCATTGATAAAACTCATATCCTGGCAAAATAGCCACATGGCAGCCGAAATCCGTATACCCTAGCTTGTCGTACAGTCTTTCCAAATATTGGGACTTTTTTAAAACGCCGCGGGACATGGGAAAAATTGTTAATAAGCGGGACGTCTGGTCACCTTATGCTAAGACATCTCAGATCAAGCAGAAAGGCAAGCATCCTGTATCACTTCCTCAGACGCAAACACCTACCTCAGTTTTTGTAGTCTCTCCATTTCCTCAGTTTTGAGTTCATTCAGCTCCTTTGTTCTTCTGGAAGTTTCTGCATCAAGCCAATCAAGCCTAGCAAACAGCACAAACAGTCACATGGACTCTGTTGAGAGCAGGCCAGGTTTCATCACCGAGGGTCTCAACTGCCATGGTGCCAGTCTTGGCTACGACAGCAGGCCCCTCAGGTGACCCGCAGTCTTTGACACAGGCACTCAGCCAGTAAGCCCCAACCCAATCTGGATTCGCTGCTCAAACAACTGGACCATCCAGAGGAGGCCTGCCTACCAGGCTCTCCCGGAGGGGCTGATACTTACCGCTGTTTTTGCGTCCTGTCCATTTCTTTGGCTTTCAGTTCTTCTAGTTCCTGCAGTCTTTGGGAAGTCTCAGCATCAAGCCAAGCGAGCCTAGCAGGCAGTACAGAAAAGAGTCAATCCATTTGGCCTCAAAGCTGCAGTGTCTTTACCCCAGAACCAGAGCAGGGGTCAGGATCCCCTGGGGACCCCCGCCTCCCATCTCCATTAAGACCTTGGTAGATCACATGATCTCTCTGCCCACCCACCCACACCCCCAAGGCTTCCCAGGAAAATGCACCCCTGTGCAAAACCACTGGTAGCTAGTGTAAAGAACGACGACGACGAGCAGGTGCCCACAAGTGTCCTCCAGAGCACTGGCCTGCACTGTGCACGGGCTTTCTTCTCAGACTGGAAAACACAGCCCCGCCGTCTCCTTGGGTTTAGACAGAGCAGTGCACTCCCGGAGAGTCAGGTAGGTGTAAGGTTATGTAAAGGCACAGAGGACAACGCCCACTCTGACCAAGGGCTGCCTCAGAGTGCCCTATTTGGAACAGTGCTCCATCGGGGAGCTGGTCCTCCCTCATCGGCTGTGTGCCACGGGAAGAGGGAGCACTTTCAGCCACACAAATGCAGAGCACCAAGGGCAGAGGGACTCGAGAGGGGCAGAAAAGGCTGCCTTGCTCGAAGTCTCTTCACTTTGCCAGGAAAAGGGGGGCTTTAGGGGCCTGCAGAGAAGCTGCTTGTGGCTGCCTGGCAAGCACCATGTGACTGCCCAAGTCACCATCAGAGGGGCTGGCAGCCAGTGTCCCCAGGGCAGGCCTGAGCACCGCTGCTGCTGGTGGACTGCTGTGGGGGCCTGCCTCCCTCCCTCCGCACGGCCTGTCCTGTCAGAGCCCTGAACGCCCACCATTCTTTAAGGGAGAGGGCAGGTGGCTGCTGAGTCGTTTTTTCTTTAAAGGAGGCAATAGGCCAAGTAAGTTTGGGAAGGTACTCACCTTTGTACATAGGAAAGAGAAGATGGGGTTTATTTTACCCACCAACTGCCATTGTGCAGTTAGCCTCAACTTTCTCCTGAGGAGCGGCTGGTGAGCTGGAACCTTGTGACTGGCAGTCCAACACTTACCCGACAATGCCACCAGGGCTTCTGTAACTACTGAAAGGAGCCCTGTCATCTACCTTCAAGGAGCGCGCATGCCACACAAACCTGACTGCTTCCTGTTCGACGGCACTCGGCAGGTGATCTTTCTCTTGAGCGTCTTCTTGTGGGAGAGCCTGCTCTTTGCTGGCTTCTTTGGGGCTACATTTCACCTTTGACCACATAGCACTGCAGAGCAAAGCAGAAAAGCACCCATGTCCAAAGGCTCCTCAAAGGGAGTCAGAAGAAACGAACACCTCACGTTAGTCATCCCGGTAGCATGGCCCCCCTAAGGCAGAAGCTGAGTGTGAACAGGAGTGAGTCACCCGGACTCAGGCACAGACCCCTTTGCTTCAGAAATACAGTCACAATTTTAAACAGAACTAACCATCAACTACAGAACAGGTGAACCTTGGTCAAACCCTGATGTGACTGATCCGTACACTTTGGGTCATGAGTTACACTCCTATTACAAAGGAACGGTATAGCCTAGCATGGCACTACAAGCCTAGATGCCTCATCCACGCCCCTCCCCTGCCCTACCCATGCGCGCTCTAGACAACACCACCAGCTATCTGGTCTGCCTCAAATAATGGATGCTGGTTAGAGGCCTGCATGCCTTATTCACATCTGTTTTAGCGTTCATCTAAAACCAGAACTCTGAGTGGAGTAAGAAAGAGGGAAAAGCACATTATGAAATCAGAAGAGTAGTCTTGAACAAGGCATGACACTGTTGCTCCAGCAATAAGGTGGGAGTTGATGGGTAAATGCAGCCAAGCAGTCGGCATCATCCAGAATGGTCAGGTGGATCCACTCCAGCAGCTTCTCACCCTGGCTCCTGACGGCCACCAAAAGGTAGGCACTTAGGTTGACGACCCTCCCACTCACTCTCGTCCCTACATTGCTCAGTTCCGCTTCCTTCCTTCTGCTCTTCAACCTCCTGATCCTTTGCACCGGATAAACAAAGGCAGACACCTCACTGCCAGAGAGTCACTGCAGACTCAGATGGACCCGACAACGGTTAACCCCCTCCAGCAGACTGCTTCCACCTAACGAGCTGGGCTCTGGCTCCCCTCAAGGACACAATCTCCTCTATTGGGAAGTCCTTTGGAACGGCGGCTCCTCAGGCTCCATGTGCTACGGATGAGGGTGAGAAGATGGTCATGTCCTCTGCATTTGGGACAGCTTCTTCGAGACTCGTGGGGTTTTATATTTCGTAATGCTCTTGGAACTGAATTTCCTTAAACATTCATTCACTTGGCAAAGATGTACCAAATGCCTCCTAAATGCCAGACACTAAGCTAGGCATGGGACGCAGAGGTGTGAGAAAGGGCGCAGTCCTTGCCTCAACTAATTAGAGTCTATTGTGAAAGGAGACAAGGGACCAGAAGCCTGTGAGCCTCCTTATTAACACCAGGCCCACAGGCAAACTCATACCACGGGCACGTGAGAAACAGACCCAAAAGGCGCTGGAGAAAACCATCTCATGTCTCACTCACTCACTCACCCACAGAAGCCTTCACCTAAATGGGAACAAAGGCTGCCGCTTCATTTGTGCTAAGCCCCAAGTAACCTTTGATATTTGCAACCTCACACTCCCACGGTCCCTTGAGAGTTTACATACCATTTAGGGGAGGCCGGCGGGGACGTGGGGTTTGGAGGTATCCATGGCGCCCTTTGGTCTTTCACAGGCTGTTGGTTCATTTTTAATCTGGATGAGACTGTTGTCTGGTGCAACCTGCTTTTGGTGTGAGGCTGGGTTGCTCGACTTTTTTCAACTCTATGAAGCCCCTGCAAGTGATAAACGGGAAATACATGAAGCCAAATGAGTATCAAAGAAACTCTGGTTTCAGTCTTTGGCATACTGAAGCTCCAAGGGTCCCTGCACCATCATCCATCCAAGGCAGCAAAAACCTACTGGGAAGGCAGTCAGGGAAGGCAGGCACACACAACACTGCAACACCCCTCGGGGAGGGGCACGGGGCATGGGGATCAAATAGAGCCTTGGCCCTCTCACCTTCATATAGCGATCCATTTTTCCTAATTAAGTTTTTTTTTAAGTGAATCTACATTAGTTAGAGGTTAGCTATAAAACTGTCTAGGCTAAAATATTTAATCTTGTTTAATATTCATAATATATAGAGAACTACACCTCAACATCAGAAAAACATACAATTCAATCAGGAAATGGGCAAAAGACTTGGGTAGACATTTCTCCACAGAAGACACACAGCTGTCCAAAGAGAACGTGAATTAAGCCTTCAATGTCATCAATCATTTGAGAAATGCAAATCAAAGCCGCTTCACACCTCCTAGGATGGCTAATCATAAAAAAGTACACAACCACAAAACAGACAAAGCAGATAATAACGCGGTGGATGAGACCCTGGAGTACTGGAGCCCCTGTCCACTGCTGCGGGGCATGCACACTGGTGTTGCTGCTATGGAAACCAGGTGGGCAGTTCCTCCGAGGTAAACACAGAACTATCGCAGGACCCCGCAAGTCCACCCCACAAACACACACAAAAGAACTAACAGCAGGGATTCAAATAGATTCCTGTACCCCAATGTTCATCGCAGCAGTAGGCACAACAGCCCAAAGGTGGAAAGCTCAAATGTTCATCAACAGATGAATGGGTGGGAAAATTTGGTACAGCTGTACGAGAGCATTACTCAGTCACAGAGAGGAATGAGGCCTGCTACACGCTACAAGTGGTGATCACTGAAAACCAAGCTAAGTGAAATAAGCCGACACCAAACAACAAGTCTTGTATGAGTCCCTTTACATACAACAGAATAGGCAAATACAAAGACAGAGAGCAGGTCAGGGGTTAGGTCAGGCCAAGGGTACGGGAGAAATGAGCAGCTAGGGTTGCAGTTCCAATGTAGGGCGATGGAGAAGCTTAGAAACAAAGCGAGTGGGACAGGATGAATGCTGCCAGAAAGTGACACTTGAAAGTTACCAAAATGGCTACTTTTATGCTGTGTGCATTTTACCACAATGAGAATAAATAACTTGGTACCCCCCCCCAAAAAAAGCCCGTGATACTGCTAACCTGCAACGTCCAGGGTTCAAATCCACCAGCAGGCTGTCAGCTCCCATAAAGATTTACCGTCTCAGCAACCCTATACAAGGACACTCTAAGATGGAAGTGAGCCCCTGGCAGTGGGTTTGGTCTTTTGGCCCCCTCCCCCAAAGAACACGGAATCTTTATGAGCTTTAGGTTTCTCATCTGTAAAATGGAGATAATTAATTCACATGCTGCAAGATCCAGTGGGGAGTGTGATATCAGCAAAGGTAGAAAGCAGATGCCACTGACCCAGTTGGAAGATGGCTCTTTCCAAAGGGAAGAGCACCATGCCAAGTTCCTACCGGGTCAGGCCTGACTTCCCAATTACCCTCATACTAGTTTCACGGGAAAGGAGTAAGGCCTCCATCCAAATCCAAGATCTGTCAGAGCCTGGCAATTACTGCCAAATACCTTTTCCTGGGCCCACCTGACGCTGGCCAGGGTGTTCTACAGGCGGCTCTAGACCGCGCCATCACGTGCATTCATGACAGTGAGTAGTAGTCAGCCCAGGAGGCGGCTTCTGCCGAGTTTTCCACTTGGAGGGCTTTCAGTTAGTTTTAAATAGAAGATAGGATTGTTTTAAATAGAAAATATGATTGCGTTTCAAAGCAAGTTTCAACTACTCAGCTAGCTCCCAAAGCCCAATTAGAAAGTACTGACCCAAGAATGCCTTTTAGTGTTAAGTGACCAAGATTTACCCTGAGCAGGAGCCAAGTCTCCATCTCACGCTTATAAACCAGAAACAGAATGAATAAATCAATAAAATAACAGACCTAAATTTTAATTAAAACAGTCTGTCCACTGAGGACCTTAACCTCAAATTAAGATCTTAATGAACCTATGCCCTATCCTAGTAATAGTAATACTAGAAATTGTTTATTTGCAGGGAGGGATGGTGGAATTACTGTTAAAACAGCAACCACCTGGAGTCAGCTGACCTTAGACAGCTGGACCCAGGGTCTGAGAGCTTCAACCCTGGCTCCACCGCTCACTGGTGTGACCTTGGACAAAAGACAGCAGTGGTGTCATACTTGCTGCAGGCTGGCAGATGGTAGAGCGTCTTTCTTCCGAAAAGGCATGTTCCCAGTCATGGGTTTCTTTTTCGCTGGTCTGGATTTGTCTCTGAAGCTGCCATTTTGGTCTAAAACAGGTGGAATTTCATCCTGAAGGAGATCCATAGCCAAGACATCAAGCTCATCCTCTAACCTCGTGGTCCCGGGCAGCTGTGTGCCAGGTGGCTGCTGATCTACATGGAGGGATTCAGAAGGACAAAGGGAAACGTTCCTGAGATCAAGTCCGTGAGAATGACGATCTATAGGCAGATGAGTTCCAAATTCCTACCTTAGCATGGTTAAGTGCTAGCAACCTCACTCCAGATGCTAGGCAGTATTCCAGGCTGACTCCCTGAGCCTCACCTTCCGCACTTACTCTAGGACCAGGCTCCTTTGATCTGTCCAAACAACTCTCGCCTGAGTCTCCATCCTGCCTTATCGCCTCCATTCCCCCAGGGCAAACTTGCAATATCTTGTGACCAAAATGATAGTCCCTCCTAACAGGTCCCTTATTTAATGTTGATCATTCCCCTTCAACCTGGCTGTCACTTTTCCTTTTTACTTCTAAATATATATATATTTGAAATTCCAATATGAATTTTGAAATTTCCATGAAATTTCCAATACCACCTAATTTGATATAAAGTCTGAACTCCACACATGACATTCAACCTGCAATCAGAAAGGACAAGGCTGTCTTTATTTGAAGATAAGACAGTGGTCTATAAAAAAAGAAACTGAAGAGAATCTACGTATTATTAGAATCACAAAAAGAGTTCAGCAAGGCTTCTAGGTAACAGAAGCATGCAAATATCTGTATCATGCCCACACACCAATAATCAGAAAATGTAGAAGGAAAAAGAGTCATCAATTAACAACAACTGTAAGGCATCAAAGAATAAATCTAACACATTACGTACAGAGATGTTTAAGAAAGAAAAGTAAAAGGGCTCATACAACTGTTATCGCAATCCATACACACATCAATTGTGTAAAGC